CAGGGTTAATTCGATGTAATGGCGCTAACTTCGACATAAACGCCTAGTGTAGACCAGGCCAAAGTCACACTTCACACTGTCTACATAATAATAAAGTTCCTCCATCACTGAAGGCATGTTATACTAAATTCTGTACATGCAATTGTCAGCAGCTGATGTATGTGTTTAAGACTTCCAATTAATTCATGGGAAAATTATTAAAATAAAAATTGGATTAGTCCATATGCATCATCATTATTATTCTTTGTAATCTATCTATATAAAGTCTTATATGGTATCCAGAATTATGATATATATTTCTCTCTCACTAACCTCCAGGCAACATCATTATCAAACAACTTCTGTATATTAAGGCAGTGTTGCCTAGTGGATAGAAACATGGGACTAGACTATAGGTGACCTGGATACAAGTTGTGATAGTCTGGCTAGCTGGATGACCTTGAGCAAGTTACTTCCCTGTTGTGTGCATCAATTTACCCATCTGTAAAATGGGGAGAATGATACTGACCTCCTTTGTATAGTGCTTTGAGATCTACTGGTGAAAAGAGCTATGTATTATTAATGATAATAGTGATAAATCATAGATGATATTATCTGAGGTCTCAAAGACTCAGAGACAAACTCTGCACCTTAAAGCCTGAAGAAGCTATTTTTTATTTGCTAAAAATAAATAAAATACAGGTGTTGGAATTATCAAATCCATCCATATATTGAGGTCAATTTCCATTTGGAAAAGTTGTATTTGGAAAGTTGCAAAGATAATTCTTATGTGTAAACATTCCTTACATTTCAAACAAGGAGAGTTTTGCTTCTGTTTTACCTTTAAAAGTGTTTGGTGCGTTTACTTCAGCGCCACATGCTGAGCCAGATCCTACTGCACTTACACAAATGTTGGGGGGGGGGGGGAAGAGGATGCTGAAAATGTGAGAAACAAACACTTTTCAGGTTTTGGGAGTTTTAGATGAAACCTCCCCAAATTTTGACCATATCCGGAATTAACTTCTGGAAATGCTGGCTTTGTCAGAAAGGTATTTTTTGTAAAAAACAAACAACAAAACTGTTGCTGTGTGGAATTGACGCCTGTGGAATTTATGGGTGCTGCCTAGTTTTTATTTACGCACCCAGGTTTGGAAACCCTGGCTTTAAATTAACAAACAGGAGCCTTGCCCAGTGTTTTATCAACAGAGGACGCGAGTTTCTTTCAACATGTTGCACTAGGGTCCAGACCGGTTGGACTGTCCCACCTTTGGCCAGCAGCCCAGACAGTGCAATCGTGTAACCCATCGCCATGCTAGGGATTGTTCATTTCCTGGAGAGGCTACAGACCCAGCTCAGTTTCACTGTTGCGCAATGCAGCAGACGCTAGCAGGGTGGCGGGTAGCAAAAGCCCAGTGGCCTTTGAGCCGCACTTACAATGCTTGAGCGGCAGCAGGGCTGCTCTCCTTAGTTCAAAATACGCTCCAGGCTTCATCAGCCTGAGTGGAGAGTCGAGGAGCAGGGCAAGCAGAGTGGAGTGTAGCTGATAAGAGTGGAGCTCGTAGCAAAACAGTGCTCTTGGACAGTGCAGTATTTTGGTCTATTACTTAGGCCGCTTGGCATGATTTATAAATGGATGCAGTTAGTTTTCCCCCTACACAAATATTGTCCTTTTCCAGATAGACACTGGACTTTTACCTCCCCAGAGGGCAGTACTTCCAGTGGAACTGAAATTGAACCTGGCTTTTATTAGCTAGTGCTGCTTGCGCACCAGAGCAAAAATAGCAACCACCAAGTCACAAGCTATTCTGTTAAATTTCTCAGCCCATAGATTCCAAGGCCAGAAGGGACCATTGTGCTCATCTCATCTGATCTCCTGCCTAGCGCAGGCCAGAGAACGTCCCCAACATAATTCCTAGGGCAGATCTTTTAGAAAAACATCCCACCTTGATTTAAAAATGGACAGCGACGGAGAATCCGCCACAACCCTTGACAGATTGTTCCAAGGGTTGGTTACTCTCACCGTTAAGAACGTGCACCTTATTTCCAGTCTGAATTTGTCTCACTTAGACATCCAGCCATTGGACTGTTACATTTTTCTAGACTGAAGAGCCCATGATTAAATATTTGTTCCCCCTGTAGGAACTCAGACTGTAAACAAGTTACCTCTGACCTTCTCTTCGTTAAGCCAAATAGCCTGCTCGAACAACAAAGCGGAGCAGAGGTTCTGGAATTGTGGTCCAGGAACAATTTTTGGGGAGTCACATGATTACTGGTGTCTCCTTCTTTGCAGCTTCTAAAATATATCCCCAGTCAGACTTCACCAGCCAAATGACTGGTGTTGCCACTGGGGTGTTATGTAGTCCTGAATGGAAGAAGGTGGGTTCCTCTGGTTGCAGACGGGAAGGGTGGAGAGTCACAAGAGAATCTATATGGCCTAGACCACATCTTCAGCTGAGCTCCTGAGCTTGAGATTACAGACTCTAACTCATCAGCGATCTAGCCCTTCAGTGCTGAGCATCAGGCCCCCAAATTTGGAAAAACGTTGACTTCCTGGCTAGGCACATTAGTAACAGTGGTCTGATTTTCAAAGGTGGTGAGCTTTCACAAAAGACCCACTGGAGTCAATGGGAACTGCAGGCTACTCCTTGGTCATGATCTAGCAAATACTTGAGATCATGCTTCATTGTACACAAGTAGCATAGGCCCTTGAAGTCAACGGCACTACTTGGGTGCACGCTTTGCTGGGTTGGGGCCACGTGCCTCAGTCGGGATTAGGGCGTCTTTCCTATTGACTTCAGGGCATTTTGGATCAGACCCTTAGTGACTAAGCCCTGGTCTACACCGAAGTCGACGTACTTAGATCGACTTACGGCAGTGTTTTCACTGCAGTGAGTCGACTGCTGCCGCTCCCCCATCGACTCTGCCTGCGTCTCTCGCCGAGCTGGAGTACAGGAGTCGACGAGAGAGCGCTCGGGGGTTGATTTATTGCGTCTAGACTAGACACGATAAATCGATCCCTGCTGGATCGATTGCTGCCCGCTCATCCCGCGAGTACTGAATACATACCCTAAGTCTGGACCCTTCCAAGTGAGAGAATTTCAGTTAAAGATATTTTAAGCCAAACAGACAGAAGAAAATACCCCTCACTCCACTCTACTTTACTTTTCATCGTTTTATTCTTGTATTTGTACAGCTATATTTTACAGAACGTATTAATGCAGTTTAGACACAGCCCAAACCCTGTCTCCCGAGATTGTTCATAACACAAGCATGTAAAATAAGACAAAAAAAAAAAAGACCCAAAAACAAAAAACATTCCCCAATAAACAGTTCTGCCAGAGGACTCCTTTTGCAACATCAGGCTGTACCTTAAAAAGGAAATTGGGCTCATACAGTTCATACATTGAAAACGTCCATTGAAAAGAAAGGCACCGTGCGAACCACATTTTACATATATACAGACTGAAAACAAAACCAAAAAAATTACACTTTATTATTATTTTAAAATTCCTTCTGCAGCTTTGTTGGTTTAATACACTTTTTTTGTAAATTGTAAACCTTCACTTGCAAAAAAATACAAATACACTGATGCATTTAGACAAAATATTTTCTTACTTATACAGATGCAATACTTTAAAATATCTTGTTAAGTGCTCTATCACACTAAAGAGTCTCAAATCAGCGTCTGCCAGCAGACGCTAAATCAAGCCTTTAATGCATTTTATATATTTTTAATATATCTTTAAGGTCTATATATATTTATTTTATATATATATATTTATATTTATATATATATTTACAACTCTGCCATAGATTCCTTCACCTTTGGTTAAAAAAGTTAAAGCCCTCTCTTCAATAGTACACAATTCTTTTCTTCTCTTTAAAAGAACACACATTTTGCATACAAAGAGAAAGCAAAAAAACCCCAACAACACAAAAAAATAAACAAAAAACCAACTGTTCCCGTAAATCAACATTACATTCCTCATCTTCAGACTGTGAAGGTTAAACACTCCACTGCACAGACATTTTTTATACACATTTAAATCTGAATAAGTTTTTTTTATATAGTTTCACATAACTGGGAAAAATAAAAATAAAACCCGTGTAATTTTAAATATTTTTTCCCACCTATCTGCACTATGGGCTTAGAGGCACTCCATCGTGTGATGAAAGTTTTAAAGTGTTACAAGTGTTACAAGTATCCTTTGGATATCTTTCCCCCTCTCCCTCAAACACCTCTTCCTCTCTCTCCCTGCAGAGAAATCCACCTGGCTTTCAGCACGCCTTGGGCAGTTCTGGTGGCAGCTCTGTCGTCGAGACGCGGTATTGCACCTTGGTGTTGGTGATGGCGCCGTGTTTCTGCCGGAGGTGGAGCCGCAGCTGGCTTTTGTGGCGGAAATGCAGGTTACACTTCTCACACTAAAACCGAAAGGATGGGGGAGGCGCTGTTAGCTCGGAAGTTTACAGAGCCATATGTAATCTAGCCACATACATGTCCCCCCCAAACCCCGCCCCAGTCGCCTCCCAATCATTCATTAATGTGGCCTCACAACATGGCATGGGAGCGTATTTTACAGATGAGCAACTGAGGCGCAGAGAAGCTAAGTGACTTGCCCAAAGCCACGCAAGGCATCTGTGGCAGAGCCAGGATCTGAACCCAGGGCCAGCGCCTGAACCGCCAGCCCACTTCCGCCTCAATTTTAAAATATCATCATTGCCAAGACGCTAAAGAAAAGACTGACACCATCTCCCAGCTAGTCACTTCAAACACAGTGAGTACGATTAATATGAAGCACTTGGCAGGTCTGCAGTGCCTCTGTCTGGGAACTCTAAATCTTGTCCTAATTAAGGATTGCTCCGGACTCACAGCACCCTGGACATCCCCTTTCTTCAGAGTGGGAAAACAGCATCAGAGAGGTTAAGTGACCTGCCGGAGGCCACGCAGCAAGTCAGTGCCAAAGCTAGAAGTAGAGCCCAGGGGTCCTGGCTGGATTGCTTTAGCCTCTAAACCACAGTTCTGCCTCGTGTAAAAGTCAAAGTGGCTTTTTTCTGTCCCTTTCCATCCTAACTATTCCCACCTGCTGAGATTGTGCAGGAGATCTTATATAGCAATCTCCCTATGGGTCAAATGGGGGCTCCCAAGACGATGCATGGGAAGGGGGTGCTATGTGGTATGGGGCCACTCCAAGCCCCAGTCCCTCTGACTACTAGCATCTACTCATGGTTAGCTCCAGCTATTTGGATTTGAGGTTAAGCCCCCATGTTATGGACCTCGGGGTTCAAAAAGCATGCTGGGCCAAGCTCACCGCTGGGGTAATGCTGTGCAGTTGGTGGCAGCTTACCCCAACCAGTGAATAGCCCTCACTCAATAGAATTATGCCAGGGATGAGTTGAGCCTGGAGAGGACGTCTTGACAAACCTCTCATCTCTAGCGTCTATGATCCTCCGTACAGTAGAGGAGCAATGTCCTTTGTCCTCTACTGTAACATGAGCCGCGGCCCTTCGAAGGAACGGGACCTTCTTCGGTTGGGGAAGGGGAGGAAGAGAAAAGGGGTCAGGGCTGTGTTCCAAATACAGCTCAACCCGTCAAAATGCTGTCTCAGCAGCAGGCCTCTAATTTACGGTGTGCTGGAGGGTAGACGGGGAGGGGAAATGGAGGTGTCCTTGGGGACAGTCCTGGTAAGGATGCACCACAGCGAAGACTGAACTGGTGGTCAGGACTGAGCCATGCCAGGGCGATGCCAGAGGTCAGTGCCAGACAACTTCTCCCCACCATGGTACGTGGCCCTTATGGCTGCTAGGGAGTTCTGGCTCTTGGTCACTAGCACTGATAACATGGGGAGGTCACTTACATGGTACGGTTTCTCTCCGGTGTGGATTCGAAGGTGACTTTTGAGCGTCTGCAGGTGCCGGAAGCGCGTGCCACAGATTTCACAGGGGTAGGGTTTTTCTCCAGTGTGGATTAGCACATGAGCTCGGAGATGGGCAACCTGTCGCAGAGGAGACAGTGTCAGAAAACGGGTCCCATAGGCATGCTTGTCACACGCACTTCCCATTCAGACCAAGCTTCCCAAGCCAGTCCTATCAATCCTCATGCTTCAGGGCATTAGCTAGACAACAGCTGGGGTCAGGAAGAAATCCTCCTCCCATCCACTGGCCACGAGAGGAGACACTGGATTGGACTGACCATTCGGTACGGCAGGTCTGATATTAAAGGCAGATTCTAAACCTAATGGATTCTTCTAATAAACCAGCTTCATCAAAAGGAGTTTGAAAAGCTGCCATCTCTATGGACAGAGACTGTAACCACGAGCCCAATCCTTATGACTCAAGTGACCATCCGAAGGGCCATCTTCCTAGAGTATGGAATCCTAGATCAGACTCCATGGGCATAAGCTAATGAATGTTTGCAGCAAAACCCTTTGAGATCCCAAACGGCTGACAGCACACGGAGAAATGTAAGAGGCACAGATCTGTTTAATTGAAAAACAATGGACTAGCTTCATTGACCTGCCAAGGGTAAAGTTCAAGAGGCCTGTATTTGCTCCTCAACAGGCACTAAGCAAGGAACAGTGCCCCCTTCAGGGCATTTCCCATGTCACAGACACGCAGCAGAGCCCCAGGCCCAGAACCCATGCTCTGGGCAGAAAGACGCCTCCCACTCTCCAGGGGAATTGTAGCGTATAAAGTGGGATCCCCACCTGGACAAATCTGGCCCCGCAGGTCTCACACTTGTAGGGCTTCTCTCCGGAGTGGATGCGCGTGTGGGTCTTCAGGTTGGCCGGCCGGTTGAACTGCGCTCCGCAGATAGTGCAACGATATGGCTTCTCGCCTGTCACCCCGCCAGAAACAGAGAGACGCCAGGTTAGCGCACAGTGTCCCGAGCTCCCCAAAGCTTCCACTACAGTCACTAAATCGCTATATAGTCCACAAGAGAATGGAAAAGACACCTAGAAACACCCTGCAAGCGCTGTCCCTGCAAAGCCCAGGGCAGACTCCCTGCTGTGTTCCAATCCCTTTGTTCGGCTTCGCTCCCCCTAGCTGGGAATCACCCAGTGTCTTTGTGATGGGAGTCCCCAGTGGGGGTACAGCCATCATAGTCCGGTCCTATGCCAACCTCCCCACGGTATGGCATGCTCCAGCTATCCTCAGCTGGCAGGCAGTCCCTTGGGGGACCAGTGCATGTTAGAGCAGCCCTCAGGCTGCTCCAACCTGCATGCAGAGCCGGTTTAAGAGTCAGGGAACCTACTGCCTACAACATTTGGGAGCAGCAGAGAATCTGCTCACTGGTTGTGTGGCACACCCACTGCACACTGGTATTTTTGGCAGGCAACTCTAGCCAGATGTGACCCTCTCCTCCTCCTCCCAGAAAGGAATTTGAAGAACTACTGTCCGGCTCAGATTGTGAAGCACAGCCCTAGAAATCAGGGCTATCAGGCAAGTCTGTCTGCTTTGCCAGACGGGGATTAACAATTCAGCCCCTCCTAGTCCAGCGACAAGCTGTATCATCCAACTTTATACTGTAGCTGGGTGAGCAAAGCAAAGCAGATGAGATCTGCCTGGCTCTGTTGGTCTCTGAATGGTTTCAAATACATTTGGTCCAATTGTTGGTTGTTCCTTTGGCAAAGTGAGCAAGGCTAAGAGAGATCCAGGATGATTCATAGCTATGGAGCCAGTAGTAACTGTGCTCCAAACCATTCAGCCTCAATTATTCCCACCTGCCATCTACACAAAGGGAATCGTCATGGGATCTCTGCCCTCTGTGGCATCCTTGGGATGGATACAGATGGCCTGAAAGGTTCATGGGAGGTTTATTTTTCCCCCTCCTGCCTTTGTTTTTAAATGAAGAATAGTCTGAACATCAAATCTGCTTTCCCCTGATTTTGCTGGAGGACGTGTTGAGCATCTCCGGGGACGTATATTGTGAGCTCTTGCACCTTACGGCTCCGATCCTGCACGTGTTTAACTTTATGTGCCGTAAAGTCAGGCCATGTGCAATTCAGCCCAACGGAAGGGGGAAGAGAGGCTGGGTCTTTAACCCAAACTTCCTTTCCCCGAAGTGTTAGTTGGGCATTGATGTTCTGAGCGTTTACAGAACCAAGCCAACCCCCCCTGATCCCTTCCTGTCTCATCTTTCACTGGGCTGGCTTGGACCATTTCATCAGTTCGCCAGTCACCAGGGATTTTGCCAGATTAGCTGGCACCCGACTTTCTAATGGAAAAAAACCAACCAGACTATTTATTTTTGGTAAGAGAACCTCTCTCAACCTCTTGATCCAACATCAAAAAAAGCCCACAGGGCCCATCCCCCGCCCCAAACACTCTGAACGGGACAGCCAATACAGCTCACATGTGGAGAGAGACCCAAATGCTAGGGAGACCCAAATCCTCATAGTCAAGGATCCCAAAGTACTTTGCAGATATTAAGCTTCACAGCCTCCCAGGGAGGAAAACAAGTATTTCCCCATGGATCGCTGAAGCACACAGGGGTTAAGCCATTTCCAAAGAAGCAGAACCCAGGAGTTCGGGCTCCCAGGACGCGGCTGGGACCCTCCCTTATCAGGCGCTGGGGTGCTCTGCCCTTCCCCGCAGACCCAGTCACAATGACCCAAGTGCAGGGTAGGGATTAGGCCTGCGCGCAAGGCAGAACGGAGCTGTGCCCTGAATCTGCTGCTCTGGCACTCGTGTGCCTTTCAGGACCTGCTTCGACACATTGCCACGGGCTGGCGCCGGGAGCTGTACCTGTGTGAACGGTTTTGTGGCTGGCTAGGTTTCCCTTGTAGCGGAAGGAGGCCTGGCAACGGTCACACTTGTAGGGCTTATCACTGTGCGCTTGCAGGGAGTGTCTCTTGAGGGAAGCCTCTTCAGAGAACCTACAGTCACACTCATTGCAGAAGAAGGCTCCGTTTTCTGTCGGGGACAGAGAGAGAGGGAGAGAGAGGCGGGGAGAATGCATGAGATCAGCAAGCACAGCAGCACACGGCTCATCGCCTGCATGGACCGGGGCTTTTGACAGGGCCAAGGAGCCGATGGGGAGGCGAAGTCAATGTGTCCAAGCTAAAGTCTGTTTCACGAGGGTTCGATGGAGTTGGGGGAAGCAGCCCGGGAGAATGAAATCAGTAGCACTTCCACAGCGTCCGTTACCCTCTCTGTCATCCATACACAGCAAAAATCACCCATGGGCCTAGCCAATAAACAAACCAATCCGAGGGAGTGTCTTAGCAAACAGGAAGCAGAAGGTGGGAAGCCGCCTCATGATGGTGGTTTCACTGTATATGAATTCAGAGTTCTACTCACTGAGGGAACTTGGGTTTTGAGCCGCTTCCATTTTCCCCCCATTGAGTTGGAGGATGGGGACAAACAGATTTTTACAAAACAGGGTTCTGTAAGCCTCTTAAGAATGGCCATATTGGGTCAGACCAAAGGTCCATCTAGTCCAGTCTACTGCCAGTGGCCAGGTGCCCCAGAGGAAATGAACAGAACAGGGAATCATCAAGTGATCCATCCCCTGTCGCCCATTCCCAGCTTCTGGCAAACAGAGGCTAAGGACACCATCCCTGTCCATCCTGGCTAATAGCCATTGATAGACGTATCCTCCATGAACTTATCTAGTTCCTTTTACAGTCTAGCCCTCTTTATCCACAATTGCTCCTCTAGCCTGGAGACAGCTCCGAGAACTGATGAGTGAGGCAGATAACATGGCCATGGCCAAGTGTGGGATCATTTCTTTCTGCCTAACTCAGTCCCCCCCTGGCAATTTTGAGTGGCTGTGGCATTCTTCACTTCCTGTCTTAAGCTGTTGGGAGACTCTAATTACTCTCAACTAGCCCAAGCTGCCTTGTTAAAAGCAGAAACCAATTCCCATGCACGCTTCATTCAGCTAGTTAGAGGGTTTGGAAAGCACTTTGAGATCCGCTTGGAAAAGAGATGGCCTGAACCATTGAAGTTCAGGTTCAGGATTTGGGTTTAGCCCATTGTAGAGACCGACACCGGCCTGCTAGTACGGCCGCAGGCTCAAACATGCCCAGAGTTCTGGGGGTGCTGCGGCCGGGCCCCTCTCTCATGTGGTGGAATGGCATTGTGGGAGCATCAGCCCACAGATTCCATGGCGCCCCCCTCTGCCGGTCTGGAAGGGCGGGAGGACGGAGATTGGACATACCACAACTGGAGTCGGAGTATTCGGAGTGGGTTTCGCCCATTTCCTCTCCGAAGGTCGAGCCAGGGGTGTGAAGGCACATCTCAGAATGCTGGGGGGACTGGGAGCCGCAGGTGCTGCATTTTGAGGAATGCAGGTACAGAGGGGACTGCCCCTCGCTGCTCCGAGGGGACCCATCCAAAGATCTGTGGAAGAAGAGCAACACCTGTTGGAAGGCTTTAGTGACACCAGACCACAGCGCCTCCGTCAGCCCAGGCATAAAGAATACACACGCATTGCTAAGCGGACCCTTAAAGAAGCCCTAGTCAGGATCAGGGCCCCATGGGGCATTCAGCAATCACACTTCATTCTTTTATAGTGCCCATCCCACAAGGACCTCAACGCACTTTATAAACATCCCACTTGGGTAGGTAACAGAAGAGTAAACCGAGGCACAAGGTTTAAGTGAATTGGCCATAGCCACAGAGTGAACCAGGACGCCTAGTCCCTAATGTAACCATCAGCCTACGCTGGGTGTGGTTACACATTTGGGAAATGTACATTACTGGCTAGATCCTCAATTAGTATCAGCTGGCGAGGCTCCACTGAACTCTCTGATTTACACCGGTCAAGGAACTGAGGCAGGAGGCTAGTTCACCAATGCTGGGCATCTACCCAAAACATGAATAAAACCTAGAAGCGCTGCAAGGAGTCCTGTCTCCTCCACGGGGATCTGCCTTACCTGTTCACAATGTTGTTGAGCCTGCTTGCTTGTGGGATTGTCGAGTCTTCCCCATTCAAGCTCAGCTTGGTTGGGGACTGGACGTCTAGATTCTCAGGTTCCATGGACTGCTGGCAAGCCGACGTAGACACGTAGGAGCGAGGGGAGAGGGTCCCCACTTCGTTCTGGTCGGCGCCGTCTTGCTTGGTGCTCTGGTTGAGGTTGTTGAGGACGATGAATTTGTACTTCTTCCAGTTGCAGGCTTTGGGGTCGGTAGGGCTCTTGGTACCCAGAGATCCAGAGCTTTGAGCGATGCGGGCGTTCTTGCTGCTGCTGGACTCGGTTGGCGAGTTGGGTTGGCAGTCTGATTTCTGGGGGCTCTGGGGGCTGATGAGACCCTTTCGGTTCATTGGTGTATTGGTTGGTTCGAAGTGTTGGCTTATCTCGTCTTCCGAAGAGGTCCGCTCTTCTTCTTTGGCCACTTTGTCACAGGCGAAGTAGGGATTGTTTCGGACCGAAGGTGTGACGGGCTTAGGACCAGCGGCTATGCTGTAGTGCATGTCACTTCTGGCCTCTTCGGCAGCAGCCTCGTTTGGAGAATAGATGGTGGCATGGCACGTGTTGGCTGAAAGATCAGTGACGGCTCTGGTATAGTCTGTAGGGATTGTCCTGGAGCTGTCACATGGCAGCGTTCTCTCCTTTGGAAAAGGGTTGACCCTCGAGACATCCTGCAGGGGCATCCTCGTCTCTCGCAGCTCGTCGTCCAAGAGGAAACCGTTGACTGGAATGGGGTTGTATCCAGCGTAGGAAAGGGGCGATCCGGACAGGCCACTGTACAAACTGGAGGCAAAGGCCCTCCCATCGCAGAGAGGCGTGTTTCGGAGAGGCATGTTGTTCTCGGAGACTTCCCGGCTCCTGTACGCCATCACCTCCGGATGACTCAGCATCCGGCCCGTCAAGAACTCTTCCCTTGGCGTCTTCATTGCGGAGACCATTTCGGCTTCGCTGCATGGAGACAAAAGGAAGGGCGTTACGCTTTATTCCCAGCCTTTGAAACGAGCTGTCAGATGCGTTGGCAATTCCACCCTCTGCCCCCTCCCCACCCCCAAAAACAGGCTCTCCAACTCAGCCACGGGTGTCTCACCTAGACTTGACAAACCTTCGGCAAGTATCGACGACGTGCTCCATCTGCAGGTAGAGTGCGGTGGCCATGACGGCCATGATGTTGCTTTCCCTCAGGTTGAGGCGGGAGGTGTACATGAAGTCCAGCAGGATGCAGAATCCCTCGGGGTTGATGTCTGGGGCCAGAGTGATGATGTTCAGATTGCACTTTAGCTGGTCGGTGAATATGCTGTAGAAGAGGCCGCTGCAAAGGGGAGAAGGGGTGGGAGGGGAGAGTGAACCCAACGTTCCAAGATTTCGGAAGAAGAGAGGGGGGAGAGAACTTATTACAGGAGTTCATGATGTCCCGATGGAGAACCCTCAACCTCCACCCTTTTTACATTGCGACGCTGGAAGACGGATGGGAGGCCGGCCCCAGTGAGGTCCTGTTATGGAAAAGGTTGAGAACTCTAACCTTAGTTAATTTAAAGACCCTCCCTAGATTTAATCCTCTCACTCCTCCCTATGTCTCCTGCCTCCTCTGATCTAGCATTAAATTCTTCCATTGGTCCCCCAAATTACACCGCTGGGTGCAAGCGCCTTCTCCTCTGCAGCTCCTGCCATCCGGAGCAGCCTCCCTGCATCTCAACTGCTCACCAACTCTCCACTTAAATGTCTTTTCTCCCTTGCCTACTTCTCTTAATTCCTCCCTCCCGCCCCGCACTGTCTGTTTTTCCTCCCTCGGTGAGTTATTGATCTCTGAAGCCGCATGGGAAAACACGGTTTGTGTCAAATGCACACTAAATACTGCACTGTCAGAAGACGTTTATGCAAAATACAAATTGTCGATGATTTGTTTATGCATTTTTCCACACCAACGGCCTCTCATTTCCTCCACATTAGCGCCACCTGATAAGACGAGGCCCAGTGACAATGCCTGTAGAGGTGGCGGGTGTTTTATTTACAGGGTACAATAGCGAATGGATCTCTCAGTCCGTGGGGAAAGCAGCAAGGGCAAGTTCTGGAAAAGAGGAGATGAAGGGGGAATAGGATTGGGGTCTTCAAATTCTTGAAAGGCTGCCATAAAAAAAAAAAAAAGTAAGAGAAGTTGCTCTCTCTTGCCATAAAGGGCAGAGCAAGAGGCAATGGGTTCAAACTGCAGCACAGCAGAGTTAGATTAAATCTCAGGAAAAACCTCCTAAGGGTAAGAACAGGAGGACAATGGAACAGACGCCCAGGGAGGCGGTGGAAACTCCTTCACTGGAGGGTTTCAAAAGGAGGCTGGATCGCCATCTGTCTTGAATGGTTTAACCACAATAATCCCTGCCAAAATGCAGGATTTGGACTAGATGACTCTTGCGGTCCCTTCTCACCCTATGATTCTATCATTTCAAAGGAGCAATACTACTACACTTTTAAAATTCATTGAGATGTAGCCCTTGACCTCTGAGGCGATAACCAAAGCCACCAGAGCCGGGTGACTCTAGAGATGGGCGCACATGGTCTCTAGAGCTAAATACTGCTATCTTCCCCAAGGTCGGAGAGGGTTTTGGTTTGGATGATCCCGTGCAATGCTGCATTGCACAAAACACACTTTTAGCTGCACATCGGTATGCAAACCAGCTAAACCGAAGAGTTGAGCACGACGGACTCCAATCCCTGCCAAGCATCTGCTACTCGTGGATGTGAACACAGGGCTCGGAAAGGCAGAGCTGGACCCTGGGAAGTCAGACGTGCTATTTATCTAATGGAACAGCGTGTGCGCACAGAGGAAGGAAAGGGGGCTTGGCGGGGGCGGGGGCAGAAAGCTACTGTGTCATTAGCCCCTCCTCACCTGCAGGCCATGAGGACAGTTTTGTGGGCTCTGAACTGTTCCCGGTTCACGATGATAACGACATCGGTGAGGATATCCCGGCTCCGAAGGCGGTTGAGATTGAGAAGTACGTCACTTGCGTGGCGGGTGAACTGGATGCAGCTGTCTGCCGGAGAGGCCATCTCGACTCTGCCTGAAAAAGAGAAAAAAAATAGGACCATGAAGAGACTCAGAAAGCAACAAAGCAGGGCCAAGAGGCTGCTATTGATCTACTCCAGCAGGGGCTCCCCTGCAAGGCAGTGTTTGCTTACGGCAGCAACAGACCCTCAGCTAGAGAAGAAATAATAATCTAGGACGCAGCCACATTTCAGCTTCCATCTGTACTGGCCATGAGCACCAGATTGTTCTGCTAAATGTTCCAAAAAGGGGGCAAGAACTGGAGGGGCTTCAGCAGGAGTCCCATCCTCCTAGCTGATAGGGGACCGCAACAGGACCTTCCTGGGGAATAGGTGGGCAAGGTATATCACACCCCAGGCCTGCTCCCACTGTGGCCAAGCCAGCAGGATCTGTCCTTAGCTCAGCTCCATTGGAAGCTGCTCTCTGAAGATCTCAGCGGAAGAGCAGACAAAGCAAAGCAAACCCTGGACGCTACGCTGCGGTAGTTATTAGATTACACACTTTATGGTTTGGTCCCGCAGCTCTGATACGTGCATCATTCCCATGGACATCAGGGCAGCCAAACTACAGAATCCAGCCATGGAAATTAGAGCGAGTCATAAAGATCCCATACAAAGCTACAGGCGTTCAGCGCTTCTGAAAATCCAGCCCTAAGGGTCTCAAGTTGGACATCCAAAAATCAGTGGCTACTTCGGAAGATAATGTGCCCAGGGTCACAAATCAGTGGCTGCATCAGGAACAGAAAACCCAAGTCTCCCGATACCCAATTCCCTAGAATCTAGATCACCAAGGATTCTTAATTCCACAACTCTATTCCTCTTCCCTCGCCAGTTCTTCCAAAACACATGTTCTCTTTTATCAAAGTTGGAGGGTCTGCCCCAGCCCTTTCCCAAGAAGCTACCATCCAGCACCTGAAATTCCACACTGGAATTTGAATCTTAAATGCCAAATTCCTCAATGACAGGATTAGTTCCAGCCACGGTTCCTCTGCCGGTGGTGGGATATGAATGTGTAATTTTGTTCAGAGCAGCCACTCTCCTGAATACAGATTCTGGCTGGGCCTAATGAAACATTTCATTCAACACATTTAAAAAGGCATGAAATTAAATTTACATACCCAATGCCTCAATTCACAGCCCAAAAGTTTCTTTCAAACCTACAAAGCAAGCACAAGAAAAACAAACACCAGATTAGTTCAGAAATGTAAATGGGCTGTGGTAGGATGCAAGCTTGTTGTTTTGATGTAACATCAGCAGGATGCGAGCTGAAGCTAATAGCACTTCCACTCTCCAATAAAGTTAATTTGTTTCTCCCAGTACAGTATGTTCTTATTGCAACCACAGGCTTTGGGAATCTAATCAGAGACTCTTCCACACCCTCTACCCCAAACCATGGGTGTATGCCAAAGAGCCTTTCATATCTATGAGTCAGGGACTCGAGGGTAGCTGGGGAGGGTACAGGAGGAGTCAAACAAGAATTCATTTACCACTTCTTTTAGAGATGCCTCTCCCCATCCCCAATATTCCCACTTCTTTCGTCTCATTGCATCACACAGGGTTGCAAGACTCTCTCTCCTCCCCTCTTTCATTTTCCCCAGAAACTAAAAAGGGGCCAGGAATTGTTCTCCTTAGTAGCCACCATTCTTCTGAAGATTTCACAGCACTTTGGAAACATGAAACACTAGAAATTGATAAAGATTGGGAAACTGAGGCACTGAGAGGTTAAGTAACTTGATCAAGGTCACACCGCAAGTCAGTGGCAAAGCTAGAACCAGAACTAGTCCCTTTTCTGAATGCCAGAAGATGCTCATTGTCTCCACCTGCTGGCTTTGGGGAGTTAATACAGTTGGGACAGAGAAGAATTTCTCCCCTTTCCATTCCATGCGAAGAGAATTTTATTTTTCTTCTTACCTACATGAGGACAAATACTCCCCCTCCCCCCACAGTTGGTTGTTACATTTAAAAGAGGGGGAAAGAGCATCATAACTGTTATTTGGCTTTTCAGATATAACCATAATCCTTTCCATGCCCACAAAGATGTGTACCCAGAGATTTATGGGGCCTGGGGAGGAAGAGGAATTAGTGTGATTTTTAATATGCTAAGACAAATGCATGACATTAAAATCCATTTCATACACTCAAATGACGTGAGTTTTCAGAGCGCCTCCGAGTCTCCCGATCGTGAAACTCAAAAAAGGTGACTCATTTCCCAAATACTGCAGACTGTGACCTTTTTGCATAGCCCTCTGTGCCAGCCACTTTCAATGTTCACACGAAAGCCAAGAGATTTACAGATTGTGCTAGCAACTGGCCTAGCTTCCAAGTTCCCACCCAGTGGAACGTGTAAGTGATGTACAACCGGGTCAGAGTCTGAGCTCAGTCATTTCAGCGTAAATGCCAGGCACATCTACGAGCTACCGGAGTCACAAGAGCTGTCCCGGCGATCAGAACAGGGCCCACTTATAGGCTACGACATGGGTCTGAGAATTACAAAGCTCACCATGAACTTCATCCCGTTCCACGGAATGCAAGCAGTTCCCGCAACGGTAGAATTCTTTTACAGGGATGCGGCAGGGGGACAACCTGCCCTGGGCGCTACCTGGTCCTTTGTACCATCCTGCTGCTGCCCTCTAGCACATCCACAGCACCCAGCCAGTCTCGCTGCCCAGCTCATCCTTGGTCCACACGGGTGCCCCTCTGCAAACCCACTGCTGTCCTGCCACAGAAAGCAGACCAATCTGGGCTCCTGCCAGCCAAGCGGCCTTTTCCAACAAGGGTCCCTCGCATTGCGCTGCGCCGCAAGGTCTGCCTTCAGTCTGCTGCTGGGATTGAGAAAGAGGAAGGCGCTCCTCCCCCCTCCCCAGACACACCCTTGACCCACCCACCCCATATTAATCAAGCCAGGTGCAAATGAGTCCCCCCACCCCACACAGTTTGGCCTTTGCACCCACCTGATCATAAGACGGTGCAGTTCAGCAACAATAAAGAAAGACTGTCAAGATTTGATGGCTGATAGTGGGGAGGAGGGGGGGGGGAATTCCGATATGAAAAACCCCCCCCCCCCACAAGCCAATTTCTCACGCTCCAGGGTTCACCCCACCAAAGGCCACCTTTTCTGCACGTGGGGGTGGGTGGGAGGGAGGGGACCTGCTTCCAAATAATCCCCCCCAGGTCACCCTCTAGCCCTGCTCATGTAAGGGGGGGAAACCCAGCAGCAACCCCCCACCCCTTGAGACCTCCACCCGGAGCTTCTCTTTCCCACGGTACCTTGCCGCCAGCTGCCGGCCCCAGCCCCGCCGGTGCGGTGTGAGCGCCGCGTTTAGCCGGGGAGGAAATGCGCCCCCATGGCCGGCGGGCGCCGGGGAAGGGCACCGCGCTGTCATTCCGGGAACGCGCCGGGCTCCGGCTCTCGGCAGCCCCGTTCTAGGAAGCCGGGCGGGAGCCGAGCCCGGGGCATGGCGAGCCCGGGGAGCCCGCCCCCTCTGCGGGCCAGGCTGCAGCCCTTTGCAACGCGATGGGGGAGGAGGGGGGCGCTGTCATTCCTGGAACGGGCCGGCCCCCCTTTCCAACCCGCCCGGCTCCCCCACGTGGGCAAGGGGGCTGGAGACAGGAGAAGTGCGGGGGGGGGTCCGCCGCCTAGGGGTCCGGGCAGCTCCCACCCCCCTGCCCTGCACCCTCCCTGCACGTCCTTGGCAGGAGCCGGGTGGATCCCATCCAGCTGCAGACAAATCCACCCAACACCGGGGAATGCAGCGGTCCCTCGCCCCCCCCCAGCCAGGGCCAGCCTACGCCTGGCAGCGGCTCGCCCCATCTCCCCCACGCCGGGAGACGCTCTGCCAGCCAGGGCGGGCGGATCCCGCGGGGCCCCTTTGCCCGCTAGGCGGCGCTCCGCCACCAGGCAGTGAAGAGCCATCCCCCCCCCGACTGGATACATACTATCAGCAGGAGAGACAGCTGCAGGGGTCCCTGCCACGGGGCTGGTTTTATTGTCTGGGGGCAAGTGACCCAAAGCAGAACCTCAGGGTGTGTCATCCCCTTCGCCCCTGCCCGAGAAGCAGAGCCCAGCGGGCACCGCCGGGGTCCCCAGTCTAGAGGGAAAGTCACCTGTGGTGAGAGGCTGCTCCGGTCACAGGGACCTCCTTGCAAGCTCCCTGGCTCGGAGAAGCGTTCATTGGTTACAGAATGGCATGAGACCAGGGGGTTGTAAGAGGAGGATTTTATTCATTTAGTAGCCTCCTGGGGCCAGGCCAACAACTGTTTCGATTAATATAAAAACTAGAGAGAGAGGAAAAAAAAGCTCAAAGACTTAAATACTGTGTCAGCGTAAATCAAAGAAGCTTTAGCCACTCTGCCCCATCCCTTGTTCCCTCTGGCGACTCGGTCCCTAGCAGCGTAGCCAGCGTCCTGCACTGTCGGGCTGGTCTAATTTCCTGCCAGCAAACAAATGTTTCTAGGAAATGCAATCTATTACAAGGATGGCTTTATGATCAGCATTTGTAACCAGGAAAACTGCACCTGTCCTCTGGCACTGCAAGGTGCTACAGCGCATTTTAATGTCTTCCTTTGAAGAAGATTTTAAACGGGTTGCACTTTTGAATGCTTGGAAATGGCCCAGTTTCTAGTCTGCACATTACTTTACTCTTCATTTAAAAATAAAGAGGGGGGGGGGATACCATTTCAAAATCCTATTGATCTTGCCAAAATCTTGCTTAGCATTAATGAAGATGTAAAGCCAATAAGCGTCCTTGGAAAGCGATGAGTCAACCTTTTCTCAGGGCTTCCAAATAAATAAGAAAGTCCACACATTAATTTTTAAAATGAATACAGAAATGTTATTTCAATGGAAGTCAATGGAGTGACGCCAGGGGAAATGTGGCCCATTATCTCAAATATCAGGTACTGTTTAAAGTAGCTTAAAAGAATACATCATAACTGCAAGTTTGGACTGTGGACACACTCAGGTATACTCCAGCTCAGACTCGGCAAATAAATTTAGCCCACATAGCTGCTCCCAGTGGCCATTAGCACACACTACATTTTTTAAAATAGCACAGCATGGTGGATTTGGGAATTAGCCATGTAAGTTATCCTACAGAATGGCCAGTCCTGTGACTCAGGGAGAAAGGTCTCTCCTCTACAAACAGATCTACAGTGCATTAGTCAATAGCCTCCCTCTGTGGTGAGTAAAATTCAGGTCTTCATTGTGTCTGACTGATAATAAATGTAATTGGAGGTAAAAAGACTAGCCTATAATACAGGGATGAGGGAGAAAGCCAACCACTATTTCCCTCCCCCCTTACAAATAAAATTTCCACATGGAAGTTACTGTTTTTTCTGTAATTCTACTAATCACAAGAATTGTTTAAAAATAAATCTAGTACAAAAATATGGGAGTTCTTCATAGGGGAGATTCTTGTTTACAGACCCTGTACTTCACTACAAGTCTGAATGAAAGGTTAAAAGGAGGGACTCAGTCAAGTCAAATTTCCCCCAAAATGAGGTTTTTAAACAAACTTTCCCAAAATGTAGGACCCACTATTTTTTAAAGTGCCAACTAAAATTGTAAATACCGCCCCAGGCAGTGTTTGCATCCAAAATATTGCAGCACTAGAAGCTGAAACTTACTTTACCTTGATTTTTTTTTTTGGTTCAAGAGGAGAAATATTAACTTGGCTATTTAAATTACTTTAATCTTGCTCATCTAAAGTCCTTGTAGCACATTAAGAAAATGTTGCTTGAAATAGGATTTAAAGAAACAACAACTTGGCATTATCGTAATTAAGTTTTGCCACCTGCATTTACATTGACAAACACCAATGCGTTATCCAATATAGTATATTTCTTAAGACTTCCTTGTAAACAAATAGGTTGCTGCCATGTGGGGAGACTGAAACCTTTTTTAAATGAATGCATAATTCTGCAATACAAGACAACCTGTATTAGACAATGATTCAGGAACAGCAGATGAACACCACAAGTAGGAAATATTTTAACATGTGATTTCATGAAAACATTCAGACAGAGCTCCACATGTAAGTATCAATAACATTTTAATATGTACTTGGTTGTTTTCAGTTAGGCTAGTCAATTTCTGTGGCACTAGATGCGGCTCTGTATTCTTCATTGCTGACTTTTAGCTAGCTAGCAATTTTTTTTTGAAGTACTGTATTCAACATGTTTTTGATTTCCCAAGCTTGAAAGGTTAGCTGCAACCAGTCACCAAAAGGAATTTTAAAAACAAACCACTAGATGGTACCCTTTAGCTTTGTTGTAGAGATCTACTATTTCCCTTGGAAAATAAAACCCCACAGCTAAGGCTGGAAAACATATAATTTTGTCCATGTAATTCTGTTTCTCTTAAAACACGTCTGAGCAACATTATTATTTTTTACAAGCTTTTTCATCCTTGCTTTTCACAACTTAAATGTTTCTGCTAGGCTTATTTTAGACTCAGACTGAAGTCTTAAGTCCTCACTATCCAGCATTTAGACTAGCTGGGAACACTAGCAATTAAAACAAGAGTAATACATGCTTTTGACTTGTTTTTTGAGAATCAACTCTCATTCAGAGTTCCTTCTCTTTAGGATAATAAATAACCAATGAAATGCCATTTCTTCTCTGATTATTGACTCAGACAGTCAAAACAGAGGCTGGGAGGTGGGGGAAAATGGATTTGAAACAGATCCCAAGAGATCTTTGATCTATTTTGCCCCTCAACATTGAGGATTTCCCTAGAAATGGAGTCTATTCTTCTTGGAACAATGAAAATCCATTCTTCTGGAAGATCCTTACACAGCCTTTGAATATTTTAATCACTGATTACTTGACAAAGACAGAAAAATTGAGGGCTTTTTTAAAAATGATGGATTGCTGGTTTAAAACACACAGTTGTAATGCAAACTGCAGTTCTTGCCCCATGAGAAAAAGTTTTGCCTTAAAATATTTTTGAAGGGATTTCCTAGCTGTAAAACAAGCCCTTAAGGCCTGCTGGAAGGAAGTCAGTATTTATTCTGAAAGCACTTATCCCATAAGCCTTTAATACAATATTGTGAATAATCATTACATTTTAAAAACCTCAGGACAAGAAGCAAGATGGGTCTGATGACAGACTCAAGGCCCAGTCCTGGAGTCAGGAGTCAAGTAAAACATCTTCTGGAGTCAATGAGAATTTTGCACCAGTTAGAGGCTGCAGGGTCCTTTTCTGCTTATCAGTGTAGATCTCCATTCCCAAGCCAGTTTAGTGCTGACCTTGCATCCAGTGAAGTCAATGGCAAAACTCTCATTGATACGGGCTTTTTTTTTTGGGGGGGGGGGGTACTTGATTTTTAAATCAAATCAGATTTACCTGGGGTATAAACATAGCCAGATCCTGGGTTGGATGCCTTTAAAAGCCAGATTCAAAGAGGGACGAGAAGCCACAAATTTGAAAAAAAAAAAACGTAGGATGTTTTTATTTCCCTACTCTTCCTTCTAGGCCATCAAGGCTATTTCATAATATTTCAAAATATTGTGACAACAAACCAAACCCCAGATACATCCAGAAGGCGATTCCCTTTCAAACAGAGCGAGGTCGCTGCTACTCCACACACCATTACTTAAACCACTAAGTTTTCACAACAAAGTTTCTCCCCCTTTGGGGAGGGGGAGGGGAAGTATTTTGACATCAAGTCACATCTGTCATTTACACAACAAACTAACTGGAACTCTCCAATAAAAAGCAATCACACAGACTGTACAGATCACTTTTTCCTATTCCTCCCCCCCACCCCCCAAGCAGAAGCAATTTGCTTGGACACATTCCTATGGAGGAGGCACTCCTGCCATTTAAAAAAAAAAAATCCCTTAAAGAAATTAACAAGGTTAGGTGTGAGGAAAATGAACCCTTGGCTCTGTTGGCACTGGAGTTTGATTGACTTTCTCCCCCTGCTTGTCCTTGTAGAGAAATACAGAGGGGTTTTCACCACCCTGCTCACCTCATGAGTTTTAAAAACTCATCAGCAACCCCTTGACATGATCCCATATGTCAACAGGGATCGGATTTCAACCCTGGCTGGCTGAAGTAGAGATTTCTAAAGAGTCACCCCCCTCCTTTCTCCTCCTCCCCCCCCCCATAAAGTTTGATACTTTGCACCTTGCATGGGGGGGGGGTTGCGTGCACTTTTGCAAAACTCTGAGATTTCCAATCCCCCCCCCCCTTCCTTTTTTCAAACAAACCCGCCTGCTTCTCTTTGCTGGTTGCTACCTCCAGGAATAGCGTGTGGAAAGGGGCCAGCTGGGACTGCAGGTTTACGAGCGCCTGTCTCCACGCCAAGCGCGATGTGGTGTGTGTGTGTACACACACACACACACACACACACACACACACACACACACACACACACACACACCACCA